CTATGTGTCCGGCACTCCAACATCACTCAACCCGTGGGGTTCCAGCAGCTATCCCCACGCAACCCGTCTATGTGTCTGGCAATCTCAAACCTCCCCTTTCCGTGGGGTTTCAGTATACAGCTATAATCACTCAACACGTCTATGTGTCCGGCAATCTCCTACATCACTCAACCTGTGAGGTTTTCGTAAGCAATCCTCACTCCACGCATCCATGCGTCACGCGTCTTTGGTAGCGCATACTATGGGGGCTATATTTGGGGTGGCGTGTTTTACAGCGCTTTGCCAACAGCGCCAACCCACTGAAGTCTAGATTGCGAGGAGGAGGGTAACAAGAAGGGGGGGGTGGGGCAAAAACAGAGAGCACGATAGGAGGAAAGGTCATAAACACCACCGTATGGCAACAAACCCGAGCGCGTACACAAACGGAGCGAGGGCGATCTGCTTTTTTGATCTACACGTGAGCGTGCAGATTTTCAAGCTTTCGACGTGAACGACTTCCACGAACACGGTACACTACCGAAAATCGTCAACTACTGTTGCGCATGAGCCCCTGTACGCGGGACTCTTGCCACGTCACAACAAACGAACAAACGACGTTGGGATACCAAAGGTACGCCGGTGAGAACTAAAAGCTGGTGTCGGTAGAAGCCGAACGGCTGCTTTTCTCTCTACAAGGCAACCCGGAGTACAACCGGTGCAGAGAAGCGCAACCGCGGCATTGCTCCTCGTGAGTGTACATTCCATCTCCATTCTCCACAATTCGCTCACCAGTCGTCCTCCTCCATCTCTTTAACCACGGAGTGCTTCCCGATCTTTTCCCGGCCCTGCTCCCAGTCGATGTCCACGTGATCGGAGCGGTAGAAATAGTCCTCAAGAAGGTCGCCAAACTTCTTCTCGCGACGCTCGCGCTGGCGCTCCTGTTGGCGTAGGCAGGCAGCAGAGTGTTTTGGCTACTGAAGATATCACATTACACCAAACATGGGTACAGTACACATTTTCGCAGACAGCCAAGAGGCATCACAAAATCAAACGACGATTGACATTGGATGAATAGAGTTTCGTGGGCACGATCGTTCTCCACGACCAGCTAGCTGCGGGACGATTTCCAAGTTGTCCCTACTAGACATTATGTATAAGACCCACGTCGCTGGCAACAATTCATCCACATCCACTTCTTGGTGCAAGACATTTCACATTCTCTCAAGATTTAGTTTCGTGAACCGCAAGTGTCACCCTGTCTTTGTGGACGACGTGATGAATAATAGCGAAAGAAAGGTTTGACCATGGCGGTGAAGGGTTCTCGGAACGGAGCTCGCTATTTAGTGACGGCGGTGAACGGCGTATTGTGGTGCCATGCAGCCCGACAGCAAAAAAGGCAAAAAGGCAAAAAGTACATGGGTGGGCGATAACGACAAACAGTCCCGACAGGCGGGATGGGAGGGTGTCGACAGCGCCTCGTTTCCCTCGCAGAACTTGCAACTTGCAATCGCGTGCTCTGCCAGGAGGACCATGGTGTCTACCAACTATGCACACGCTACACAACGTCGGGTTAACTATTTACAAGAATCGCTGCCGGTATGATATCCATGTGGAATTCACATGAAGGTTTCCACATGACATGTTTCTTCGCCTTTTTCCCGTGCAAAAACTCAACCCGGTCCGAACAACCCCAACAATAGAATCAAGGCGACGGGAGCCAGGCCCACCGTAAGCGTGCGAGACCAACACAACCCGCACACCATGGCCACGTTGCACCCTACCTGGTACCTGCCTGGTACACGGAAGCGGGGGCAAAAATGTCAACGGAACAGCCACGAACAGCACAGCTGTCCAAGTATTGATAATCAAACTCACCTCTTCCTTGCGCTTGACTTGGGCCTTCTCAACCAGAGCTTCGAAAACGATGCCGAGGTTGACCGCCCTCTTGTCCAGGATCTCCTGGAACACCCTCTTGGGAGGGGGGTCGTCCGCCGCTTTGTCTTTCTTGTCCCCCCTGTCCCTCCGTTCCCTCCTGCGGGACACCTTGCCTCCTCCTCGGCCCCTGCTCCCGCTCCTGCTGCGGCTCCTGCTATCGCTACGGCTGCGGCTCCTGCTGCTCCTGCGCCTCCTGTTCCCGCTCCGGCTGCGGCTCCTGCTGCGGCTGCGGCCTCTCCTGCTGCCATCCTCACTGCCGTCCTTGTCCTTACCCTTCCCGTTCGACTTCTCCTTGCTGCCGTCATCCTTGCCCTCGCCCTTGCCGGAAGCGGTGGCGGCCTCCTTAGCGGCCTTCTGTTTCTGCTCGTACTCGGCGCACTTGTCGTCCTCGTGGGCGAGAAGGGCAGCCTCGAACTCGAGCTGCTTCGTCTCCGGCGTCACGACAAACTTGGCCTCCTCCATGAGGGCCTCGACGCACCTCTTGTCGTCACGGAACTGCCGCCGAAGGTCGGCCACGATGTCGTCGAAAACGTCCCGGGCGCCGCCGGGCTGGTCGTCCATGGCCTTGTAGGCGTCCTCCTCCTCGATCGACCGCTTCAGGTCCTTCCACGTCGTGTCCGCCGTGATGGCGTTCTCCTCCACCATGCCCTGGAGGAACTCCTTGAAGTCCTCTCGGCGGAGGCGGTCCTGCCTCCTCCGCTCGTCCCTCTCCCTCGCCTTGCGCTCGTCCTCGGCCTTGCAGAGCTTGGTGACGAGGTCGTCCAGCAGCCTGCGGCGGTCGCTGTCTTCGAGCACGTCCGTCTCTGCGGGGGCCTTGCGCTCGATCACGTCCCTCGAGTCGCGCCAGGTGGTCCGGAAGGTGATGCCGAGGGACAGGTACTCCGCCTCGAGGAACTCCACGAAACGCTCGGAGGCCAGCTTCTGGGCGGCACGACGGTCCTCCTGAGAGCGACAAGACAAGGCAAGAGAAAATATGCAGGTCACGTCATGTAAAACAATTTCGACCCAGTGGGTGAAGAGTGTTCCTTCGGAAGTACACATCCGATTGTGACTTCGATAACAACTCACATGTGTCGAGAAAATACTGCTGTATTTCCAACCTCCGAAAGGATGGAAGCAAAAAATACAACAGGCTCAGCGTTGGAACGAGATAAGCATCCGCATCGTCGATTTAAGAAGGCGGCAATGTCGCCATATCGATTCGACATTTGCCAACGCCAACTACAGCAGCGGATGATCCATTAGACCACCGCTAATGTTGTAACATGCTCTAGTGCAGCAGATTGAGCTATCGGCAACGCGGACAACCGGACAAATGCACAACACAACACAGAAGGACACATGTGCCGACGCGCACACGACAAAAATTGAGGCGGTCCTGCTCAACAAACACCAACGACTACGACAATGTAGCTCAACAACAACAGGGCACAGCGCTCTTACTACACAAAAACGTACTTCACTTCCTTCATGACTTCCTCCATGATGAGAGACAAAACACAGCATGTTAAACAGTAACAACGGACAAACGACCGCGTCGCAAGGAGTGCTGATGTGTGTCTTTTTACGTACTAGCATCGATCGCGCTATCCGCGTGGCAAGAAGCGCTTCTGTGCGTCATACTACCAATAGCACGCGGAGACCGAGTGACCAATGACAATACGTCAAGCCCAGTGCGACGGGTGTGTGTGTGTTTGTGATTAACATCGACCGCGCAAACCGGCTGGCTGTCACCTTACCTTTTCCTTCTTGGTCAAGGCCTCCACGAACTCGTTGAACAGGTCCTCCCTGTCGGCAGAGTCGGGCACGGCCTTAAATCGAGCGTCGTCGCGAAGGGTACGCTCCGCCTCGTCCCAGCGCGACCGGCCGTCGATCTGCGTGTTCTGGGCGAGCATCTTCATGAAACCCATGCGAGCCTTCTTCGCCTTGGATCGCTTCTCCTCGGCTTCTTCCTTCCGCCTAAGGGCGAACAATTCATCACGTGCCAATACCAGAAAGAAAGAGGAGGGACAACGCGAGTTGTAGTCGTTCGTGTTTTGACCACGTCAGACATACAGAGCAAGGTACGGGAAAAACATGGGCTTCCGCGCTATTATTGTACAGCTGGGTGGAGCAGCAGAGCGCCGATGACAAGAATTGTTGAAGATGTGCGGACGCATTCTAGTGCCCACCTCCTCTACGCCCCAAGGGCGTCCTACCGTCGAACTGAGTGAGGCCCACAGCATCTCGCACGACACACCAACAGCACTACATGGGTACTACATAGGTACGCAGAGCCCCCACGGTGTTCGGTGTTCGGTGTGCTTCCCTCCCTCACGCGGTGAGGCGTATAAACCAATACACTATTACATTGTCTCAAGTTTTCGGCTTACGATGCCGGCAAAGCCTCGGGCTTCAGTGCATATGCCATAGCCCGGTTGTTCAACATTGCCAAGATGGGCATGCACAGATGGAAAACACACAAGTGGTGAGTGGGTGTCCAATGTACAATCAGTTTTGCTCCCACTTGCGTACCTCTTGTTTTGGTATTCCGTCCATATCTGGCGGCGAGAGCCCTTCCTCAGGAGCTCCCACCGGGGATCGGACTGACAGTACCGCTGGGTCTCAGGCCACTGCAACCATGCAAGAACGAAGGCGAAGGCGAAAGGCGAGGGAACCGAAAAGATCAGGCAAGCGACAGTCGGGGTGACACGGCAAAGGCCAAAGGCCAAGGGCAGTGTCAGAACACAACCCCGAAAGACAGCGCGTTCATACATCTAAACCGGGTGAACAAGATAAGATAAGATACAACGACAAGACAAAGTTTGACCGAGGCTCAAGAGTACAGGTGGACAGACATACGCACATGGCCCCGAAAAAAAAAAAAAGCGCATGTGAAACGTGTTCGTTCTAAGCACTACCCAGCACCAAAGGTCAAACGCACGTCCCGCCGAAGCAATGATGAGAAACGTATACTTACAAGCCCCAGAATGACCCAGGTACTAATCGAGAGACGTACGAACAACACTTGAAAAACAATTTGAGTCCCAGCCGCGCTTGTCCAGTGAATCACTTTCGCCAGCTCAAAACACCAAACACGCCAACCGACAAGATGTGTATACAGACGAAGCAAAACGATACGACAACCGCAACCGAGCATTCTGCACCTTGGTTGTGCTGGTGACCTCGCACTCCTTGAGCATCTCCACGAAGGCCTCCTTCTTCTCCTCCTCGGTGTTGTACTCCACCTTCGCCACCGCGGGCTTGCCCTTCTTTCCCCCCTTGTTCTTCCCGCCGCCAGTGCCATTCGCACTGCTCTCAGACGGAGACGCCGCCTTCTCCGGCTCCGGCGTCTCAACAAGCTTAAGGGCCACCCCGTTAGCCCCTCCGAAGCCCACCAGCTCAACCGCAGGCTCGGGCTCAGCCTTCACCTCGACGGCCGCGGCCGTTTCTGCGGCCTCACCGCCGGCGGCGGCGGCGGCAGCAGCGCGAGCGCGAGCGCCGACGCCGGCGTCCATTGTAGACGCAGCGGGGGAACCGGCCGCCGTTTCTGCGGCAGCGGGGGCGGCGGTGGGGGGCTGGGCGGCGGCGGCGGCGGCAGCCTTCAGCTTCTCGGCGGCGGCAGCCGCGGCCACGGCCGCCTCGTAGTCCTTGAGCTCCTTGGGCTTGTCCCACACCGAGGCCTTCCCGTCGCTGTAGTACTTGCGACCGCCGGGGCCGTCGTAGGCCTTCCACTTGCACTTGGGGATCACCACCGGAGCCACCGGAGCCGCTGGCTTGGGCGCCACGGGAGGGACTATCGCCGCAGGAGCCGGGGAAGTAGCAGCGGTAGTGGCCTTGGCAGCAGGGGTGGCAGTGGCGACAGCGGCGACGGTGGCGACCACGGCGGGGGCCGCGCTAGTGGCAGGGTTCGCCGCCGACATCGGGGAAGACTTTACGGTCGGCCCCGTGGCGGCGGCGGCGATCACGACCGGGGTGGTCGGCTTGGCGGCAGGGGAGGAGGACGCAGAAGTCTGAGCGGCGGCCGCAGCCGCCACAGCCGCCGCTGCTTTCTCCTGGGGCGTCTTAAGCTCCACCGGCTTGTCGTACGAGCTGACGCGCGTGATGGAGTTGTAGTAGTACGGCCTTCCGTCCGGAGCCTTGTGCTCCGTCCACCCGTGAGCAACCGGGGCCACCGGCGGCGGGGCCAAGCGCGGCGGGGCCATCCCGGGCGCCATGGGCGGACGGCCGTACGGCGGCACCATCATTATGGGGGGCACCCCGCCCATGGCCGGGGGCTGCTGGCCGTAGGGGTACATGGGGTGGTGCTGTTGTGGGGGCATGCTGTACATAGGAGCCGCCTGGTTGGGGTGGTGCTGTTGGTGGTGCTGTTGGTGCAGCTGTTGGTGCTGCTGCGGCTGGCGCTGCTGCGGCTGGCGCTGCTGCTGCTGCTGCTGCGGCGGCGGTTGCTGGGCCGAAACCGGCGGAGGAGCGCCTCGGCTGACAGGCGGGGAACTAAAGCTCGACGTCGCACGCTGAGCCGGGGCGGCGCCCGGCGGCGGGGTGAACCCCAAACCAGCACGTCCCGGTGGCCTCGTGGGGGGTGCACCTCTCGGGGGCGCCCCAGGCGGAGCCCCAGGCGGAGCCCCAGGCGGAGCCCCAGGCGGAGCCCCAGGCGGGGCACCAGGCGGAGCGGTTGGAGGGGCAACAGGCGGAGCAGTTGGTGGAGCCCCAGGCGGAGCATTTGGCGGGGCCCCAGGCGGGGCGCCCGAAGGAGCCCCGGGTCTAGCCCCTCCCACCGAAGGGGGCGGCTTCGTGGACGCCGGAGCCGGAGCAGGGGCGCGTGGCGCCTGCGAGAACCGAGAGAGCGCCGCATCCTGAAGGCCGCCCGGTGCGCGCTGCTGCTCCTGCACCGTCATGCCGGCGGCGACGGCCTTGTCCGACCCTAGGCCGCCCGCTACCGGCTGAACCCCCTTGTTTTGGGTCATCCAGGCCGGTAGGACCATGCCCCTACCACGCCCGCCGCGACCTGCCTGCACACCCGGGACGGGCGGCAAGCAAAGTAAGGAGGAGACGAGGATGGGAGGGAACGGACGGTGGCAAAACGGACGGCGGTAGGGGGGTAGGCACGTGAGTTTCTGCGTATGGCAGCGCTTATATATTTGTTCTGCCCCCAATGTGACATCGAGGCAGCTTTATCGTGCCTCCACTGCGGCCACTGCTGCTGTACGCACATGGAGCTAGGCACGGAGCACGCGGGGATGAATGCATGTCGTGTATCGTATCCAGTTGTCCCGACAAACAGCAAATGAAAATGATTTGTTGATCGATATGCACATTGTACTCAGGCCGTGTACACGACACGCAAGATGTGTACTTGTCTGACTGACTGTATTCTGCAGAGCACATGGTTCGTTCGGTCCATCGCGGATAGAGCGAAGCAGCCACTGGACGAGGAGAGGAAGACCCAGACGATACCGACGTACTGGTACGTCACTTGATGTGATCTGTATGACCCATGGTCAATCATCCACCTCGGTGGTGCAGTGGGGACGGAGCGCGGTCACGTTGTCAAACAGATGGGGGCGTGTAGGCAAGTCCCACAAATCAAACAGAATCGCATCACCAGGGGTCTCAAATTCCCGGGTCGGGCGGATGGCTACATCGTACATGGTACACATGTACCACCAATCAGTCGCTAAGCAACACCAAGCTGCGACCAAGCGCGGAGTACCTCTGGTCTCCCTACACCCTGCAATAAACTTGAGGCTCACCAATGTTGTACGTACTCCGAAACAGAATAAACAAAACAGCCTCACCGTCGTGCAATCCAGCATGAGCATGAGAAAAACAACGGAGCACTTCCCCCAAGGCACGCCCGGGACGCTGTTCCCTCGGTAGAGCCCAGATGGGTGGGATTTACACAGTTAGGATATGCAAGCGTTACAGAAGTTATGCTTTCATCATGCCAGTAGTAAACATTCCCCCCCCCCCAATGGACACGCGAGGGTATCTCGACCGCGGGTGCGGGGGTGCGGACATCGACATCGCGCGAGAACGCTCCGTGGAATCATACGTGGCACATCAAGTACGTAAATACTTCTAAACAGCAGAGTGCAGTGGGGTATTCTCCGAAGAAGCCCTGCTGCTGTGATGGTATACCTACAATTTCACTCCATCTCGGCTGCAATATTTTTAGAAAACCAGACTTTGCCTCGCGCTGGAGGCCCAAGTCCCCAAGAAGGATCGATCAGATGCTCGCCGTCCGAACTCCCCCTTGCGTTCGCTGTATGTTTTACTGGTCCTTGGGAGTGAAGCTTGCTGCCAAGGCGAAAAGAGGCTCGAGTATGCGTAGTACATGGCGTGCATTCGCATTTCGACTTTCGTGCGATTGTCTTGTACGCCAGGACGGCGCGAGAGGGTACAGGCATCGCACACGCACGCAAGAATTATTGGGACATTGGGTGTTCGTTTCTATTCGAAGTTGGGCAGCAGCCATGCTTCCCCGCAAGAGAAAAACAAGCGAGGCGTCGGCGATACGGCAGCGGAATGTATCGCACGCGGACCCAGAGCACCGAGCTTGCTGTGCGCTACAGCAAGGGTGGGCGCTCCAGGCCAACCAACCGAGCCTCGCGGCGGGTTTTTCTTCGCGAGCGTTTTTGCATTTCATAAAAATCGGGCTCGAAAACAACCGCGCCGTGGCGCGCGGGCAGGGTGAGGCGCCCACGCACCGCGGGATCACAGCAGGGGAAGGGGGGCGGCGTCAGAGATGCAGCGCTTGCTTACCATGGTGAAGTGGGCGCGAAGATTGTCGACTGAAACCGGTCAGCAGAGTGCGTCTCCGAACCAGCCCACGCGCCGGGGCTGCTGCCAAGTAAAGCAAATCTCGAAGAGAGACGAATGATCCAGCTGGATCCCCTACCTCCACGACGTCGTGCGCGATCGTATCCCTCTGCCAGCCCCTCCACTGTTGTCCATACAATTCCCCTCGTCGCGTGAAGGCTGCCTGGCTCGCAAAGGCCTTGCTTGTGTTTCTGGTTTGACGTCTCCTCTCTTTGCTTCCCCGAAAGGGGGCGCCGCGAGTTCATGTGTATACGATTAGATCGATATCATCGATCGTGCCTCCCGGGGAAGGAGCTCGGGGGGGGGCCGTGCGCCTGCCTCGTTGCCTTGTTCCACAAACACGCACCGTGCCCGCTCTCTCTCTCTCCCTCGCGCTACACACACCGCCCTAACGGACACCGCTAGTGGTAAGTGATTCCCCTGGGAAATTAAGGCACTCTTGTCTATCAAATACCCTTTATTTCGGAAGGTCGTCGTCTCTCATTTCTACTGGAGGGATAGAAACCAGGTTTGTTCGTGCGCCTGCCGTTTGAAAGTTGCGTGCCCCCAAGCTGACAAGCTGGCAAGCTGGCGTCACTGCAAATTTGACTACACAAGTTGCCACCATACAGAAAGTCCGGAGCGTGCTGGGATGTATTTGACGCGTGACCACGTGTTGTAAAGCTTGTATTGGGCGCACGCCTGGCACCTATGATGGGGTAATTTTCCTGACGGTGATGTTTTCCCCGCTTATCGCTGCTGTGGTCTCTCGCCTCTTCCTGTCTACTACGAATTTGTGGCGGTTGGTGCCTTTAACTTGACGATCGACATGATGCAAGCGCAGCCCCCCAGCGTCACTGTGCCGAGGAGTTATGGCTGCCCGCATCGAGTACTCGGAGAAGTATCAAGACGACAGCTTCGAATACAGGTGCGCCGGTCATGAGCCCAAAAGCAAACTGCAGAACGTATGACTGCGTTGTGTTGATGTTCCGATGGTCTCGTCCTCGCTTTGATGTCAGGCGTAAAGTCACCACTGGCAGATGGCACCTCTGGATCTTGTTGCACCACTCGCTTACTGACCTTTGCCTTCATAGCTTTTGTGGCATCTGAATGGGTTCCGCTGTATTCACGTGGGAAGGGCTCGTGTGTTGGTTTAACACGACAGACAGGGCTTTCTACAGCGTGCGTCTTGTCTGTGCTTGATTGAGCAACTTGTTGTCTTCACATGTATAGCAGACATCAACACTTCCGGTACCGGATCGCAATCGAGTGCGACAAGGACACTACATCCTTCCCCCCCCTCGGCCTGCTCCACGGCCGGGGCCGAAATCGACCTAGTGAGTCCCTCGCGGGCGAACCAGGACACAACAGGTAGTAGGCGGGTGGTGTCCCAAGGTGCAACTCACCGCCGCGCTGGCTCAGCGTGGCGGTGAGGATGCACAGACGGTGGTAGTGGCGAGAGGTGTGTATGGACACCGTTCCCGCGGCAGTAATGCAAAGCGGCAAACAGCACCTGGCAACCACCGTCGCGGAAAGCGTGGCCCACGAAGCTGGAGGAGTAGAGAGTTTCGTAAACACCACGTCAGTAAGCACCGCTCGCGGGAGAAGGGAGACAACCGCGGGCACCGCGGGGAGGGAGTGCTGCACCCTCCTCGTCAAAACACCACAGGCAAGAACCGAGCTCTGCAGAGATGGATTGATGCGAGGAAA